GAAAAAAGCACTTCAAAGGATTCAGAACAAAGTTCTGAAAATGATTTTGAAGTTGCCTCCCTGGTACAGTACTACCGAGGTACATAGAATTTCGAATGTTGAGACTTTAGAACAAATGTCCAACAAAATAATTAATAATTTCAGGCAAAAATCGTTGCAATCCTCAATTGCAACGATTAATTCCCTTTATACTTAGATAAGATTTAGTTTTAGTTTTTAGTTTTAAGATATCAATTGTTATACTGACATGCAGGTTAAAAAACCTGTTTAAAATACTGAATTGCCAAGACATGAACAATGTAAAAACACTTAGATATATATCATAACAATTAAGGCTGGTACGTTACTGCAGTAACTGGAGCACCTAGGTTAAAATGAAATGTAATTTATTTTGAATTTGGAACAAATAAAGAGTTAAAAAAAAACGGTTCTACGAATCGCGAGCGCTCATGAATTATAAAACCGCTGACTGCGACACTCTGAAAGCAAAATTGACAGGCTCTATGCGTCAAACACCCACCCTCTAATCTCCTCCTCCGGGATCCGTCCAGCAACACAAATTTCCATTACAACATCTAACGAATAAAACTCCGAAAATCACTCATCTACAGCAAGTGAGTGGAAGCAACCCTGCATGCAACCATTCTTCATGATACACTTTTTCTGCCTATCTTTCTATTAGGCCTGTGGACATGCGTTAGCTTCGAAACTTCTAACCAAACTAGAAAAAAATTCAGATAACAAAAAAAGAATTAAAGGTAATTACAAAATAAATAGTGATTATTTTACGCAAAAACGAGCACTCTTGTATTGTATGCTAATGCTAATTGACTGTAACAAAAATAATATGCTTAAATAAAATAAAAAAAAAATTAATAAAATTATATGCAAAATTTACTAGAAGATCATAATTTTATTGGTGAGAAGTTTCTAATAAGCCCTCCCAGTTCCTCTGTATACAGAACAAATCTGATACTATAATCAGAATTGCTCAGTCTGCATGAAGCAGCCGATTTCATCAAGGAAGTTCTATTAACAACCAAGAATTAATCGTTTGTGGCATACTGAAGCATTAAGAAGGTGATATGTGTCACTATAGGAAATCATCATCGTTGCAAATATAATGAAATTAGACATAACCCTTTGATTCAGTACCGTCAACCAGGGATGGAAAATCATTTACATTCATATCGTGCATTCATTTACATTCATTTGCCTCTAACTTTTTTTACCAACAGAATTTCGTAAAATAGTGTTTGAAGTTTTTGTAGGCTACATCTTTTGTAAACAACTCAAATCTGTATCTCTTATGCATGATGAATCAGAGCGATAAGAACCCACCGTTGTTTTTCAGTGAATGTAAATTGCATTCACTGAAAAACAATAACATGTTCTGCCAGCTCTATTTCGTCATGCATAAGAGATTCAGATTTGAGTAGTTTACAAAAGTTGTAGTTGATATCAAAAGCTACAAAAGCTTCATACATCATTTTACGGTATTCGGTTTATGAAAAAAGTTAGAGGCAAATGAATGTAAATGAATGCACGAAATGAATGTAAATGATTTTCCATCCCTGCCGTCAACCAGGCATGGAAAATCATTTGCATTCATTTCATACATTCATTTACATTCATTTGCTTCTAACTTTTTTCTTCAACAGCATTCTGCAAAATGATGTATAGAGCTTTTATAGGTTTTGTAATAAACTACAAGTTTTGTTCATAAATCAAATCTGTATCTCTTATGCATCACGAACTAGAGCGGGCAGAACTTGTTACAGTTTTTCAGTGAATGTAAAATACATTCACTGAAAAACAGTAGTGGACTCTGTTCGCTCTGCTTCGTCATGCATCAGAGATACAGATTTGACTTGTTTACAAAAGTTGTAGCTAATAACAAAACCTACAAAAGTTCTTTACATCATTTTGCGGAATGCCGTTGAAGAAAAAAGTTAGAGGCAAATGAATGTAAATGAATGTACGAAATGAATGCAAATGATTTTCCATGCCTGCCGTCAACCTCCATGTCCATGGGGAGGGCAGAAGAATTTAAAATCAAAAATAAGTCGAAATTTCCCAAAAAGTTCCTTGTCTGGCAAACAATCTGCGAAACTTTCGTTACTTCTGGGACCATGAACCAGAAAATTTACCAGGAGAAGTGCCTACGGAAGAGACTGCTGCCTTTTCTATAGTGGCGTGAGGTTTGATTGCCTAGTCTGGCCAGACTTGGCAAGCTGCCACTACTCAAATACCACCAAGCAGCAAGGTTGCAAAGACTCATTTCAGCTAAAATAATGTTTTTCGGAATAATAAAACCAAAAGATGGTATGATGGCATGTTTTACTTGTAACTTACAAGAAGAGGTTAAAAAGTATGCGTTGGAAACATAAAACCTGTAAATTTTGCTTTCTATGAGTCACAATCAGCGATTTGCTGATCGCTGAGTGAGTGAGTGAGTGAGTGAGTGAGTTAGTGAAAAATCGCTGATTGTGACTCTCATGAAGTGAAATAAACAGGTTCAATATGTCAAACACATTCTTTGCAACCTCTTCTTGTATCCTACCAATTCAAAATTTGATCATGGCATCTAATTATTTCATAATTTAGAAAAACATTGGTTTAGCTGAAATGAGTCTTTGCAACCTTGCCAAGCAGTGGTACAGCGAAAATGGCGTCACAGTGCTTCCCAAGGAGATGAATCCGGCCAATACAAACGGAACTAAGGCCAATTGAGGAATACTGGTCAATTGTGAAGCACATACTGAAGAAAAAGGTTGGAACTGCAATTGACCTGAAGGATTTCAAGCGGAAATGGAATTTGGCAGCCAAACAAGAGGAACAGGGCTCGGGCAAAAGATGATGGTCCGGTACAAAGAAAAGTTCGAGCAATGGCCTATGGTAAGAAGGAAGACTGGACAATGGTCATACAATAAGCATAATACCTACTAATGTATAGCTGTTATAGGTATTGAACTATGAAAAATGAAACGCCTTTTTGAACCTCAACAAGAGTTTCGTGTTCAACCTGTTGCGTCTTTTCAGGAGCATATATTTATAATATTTGCTTTTCACTCTGGATCAATTGAACAAGGCTCTGGACAACGTTATAATCATATATGCTGTTCGTGATCCATCCCGTTTGTTTCATTTAGGGATAATTAACTATAGTCGCTATATTCATAGTCTGACGGATAGAATTTCGATCTATCAAAAAGCGGAACCAATTCAATATATTGCAGACCAACAATTGAAAAGGTAATATCAACTTTTATAAACAAATGTTGATTATTCTTTCCTCGCCAATCGAACGCAAATTACCAGCATTATCGGATAGGGGAAACTTTCCCCAACCCAAAGATGGTATTAATTTGCGTAGGCGAGTCTGAGTCACGAGAAAAGGGGTTCCGAAGTTTTGTTCTTAATAACTGATGTGCTCTTTTCTGTTGTTGGTCTTGATTTGCTCGATTGGTTCCGCTATTTGACAGCTCAATTGGTTCCCAAGATTCTATTCGCCAGACTATGAATATAGCGACTATATAATTAACCACTTCATTCAAGCAGTTAAAATGACGTTTACTACCACTCGAACTTTGAAATAAAACATTATTTTGAGAACCACGAGAAAAGTAGCCAAAATGTGTGCGTTTCATAAAAAATATAAATTAGTTGGTCCAGTTACGCCAGTTGTGAAATTGCTGGTAGAACGCCAAAACTGCTTGACAAAGTGGTCAATTGAAAAGTACCAACAAGTCAATTCCAATAGAAGATTTTTCACTGATGGATCCACTGGCTTCGGCGTCTTCAATGAATACTCAACCGCCTTTCGGAAACTTCAGGAACCTTCCGTTTATGTTGCTGAGCTAGCAGCAATCAACTTCGCATTGGGAGACCATTGGGAGACCATTACTTCATCTTCTCGGATAGTCTCAGTTCGATTGAGGCTATTCGGTCGATGAAACAAGGCACTCATCTTATTTCCTTTCAAAGGTAAGGGAGCAGATGAGTTTGCTGGTCGAAAGATCATATATGATTAACTTTGCATGGGTCCCCTCACATTGCTCAATCCCAGAAGGCAGACTCTCTCGCAAAGGTGGGCGCACAACAAGGCGAGATTTATGATAGAAGAATTTCACATGATGAATTTTTCCCATTAGTACGTCAGAGTTCTCTTTTAAGTTGGCAAAACGATTAGACAAGTAACTCTCTTGGGCGGTGGTGACATGCCATTATTTCAAATGTTTCTTCGAGAGCGTGGTTCAATGGTCTGGAGGTAAGTCGGGGATTCATTCGCGTGACCACTACTCGCTAGAAGCACATCTCTACAGAATAAACCTCGTTGACAGCAATATATGTTGGTGCAGAACCGGTTATGATGACATCGATCACGCAGTTTGGTATTGCCCGTGTAATGACGCCTCCAGAGAACGACTGTTGTATACCCTTGTGACTCGAGGTAGACAACCCTTCCGTGTAGTAAAAGATGTATTGGGAACCCGTGATCTTCCCTACATGCAGGCGATCTACGAATTTCTTTGTTTGTTTGATGTGACCATCCCCTCCTTTCCAAACAATTTCCAGCCATTGTGTCCCAGTCTTATTATCCTTCTGTTTCTGTGCTACTTGCCCCTGCCCAGCCAGGATTTGGTCAACCGTCCGAGAGTTATGAAGGAGGCTTCAGAAACCAGTTTCCTACCTAGCTCCTTCCAATCGAAATTATTACCCATTAACCTCGAGCCTGCCACGAGTAGTTGGTACCCAATACTAACCTAGAACTACTGCTGTTTAAAATTTTAATTCAAGCATTACTGATTTTTGGCTTCGCAAAGTGTCACACACGAATGAGCCTAGTAAATAAACAAACTAGTTTTATAAAAAATTCAAGTGGCATGCTTCATGTGCGCGGAATTCGGTACATTTAGATATCAGACCTAGTACCTAGTACGATTGAATTTGCAAAATTTTGAAAATCATTTTTTTTTTTAATACCTAGCAGTACTCACCACTATTCAGCCCCATCGCCTTCCGCAGGCCGTGCGGTGTCGCAATCGCCACCGGCGGTAGCTGCTTGGCAATATGCGTCAGGTTGTTGGTGATCTGGGCAGCCAGATCGATCTCACTCTCGCCGGCTCGTTGCACAAAGGAAAGATGCGCCGGAAGGGGAGCGGACAGGCGATCCGTCTGAATCTGATGCAACTTCTGTATCAAGCTGGAATTGTTATTCAACGACTGCTGGAGCGTTTTGGTCATACTGACACACTCAAGCTGCTCCTCGAGGTCGTCCAGAAAATCTACGTCCACACCGAGGCTGGACAGTGACCGGAGGCTGTTGAAATCGATTTTGACGTCGGAATGTTTCTGACGTTCCTCCTCCCGCTCGACGGATTCCGGGAATGTATGCTTTACTGCATCCTTCTCTTGACGTTGCATGTCCGACTCGTACAGGGTGGCGAAGGATTTCCGATGTTCACCGTTGGTGAGAATGTCTAGCAAACTGTGCGCGATTCCCCCGGCGTATGGACTATCCTTGGTGTAGCGCATAATGCTTTCGGCATAGTCAGCGCCGGTTTCATCACCATAAGTGTTCAACACCATTTCAGATTCTTCTTTGGAGAGATTTGAGAATCGAGAGTCGAAGATGGGAGCGAAAGAACTGAACGCACCGTAACTCAGGGGCTTAACAGTTTTGGCGTAATTCCTTCGATCTTCTCGGAATCCTTGCAGCAACGCAGTGCCGTACTGGAGCTTACCGGTGAATGCTTCCAACGAAACCACCTTCTCCGGAGTGTTGTTCTCATTGTCCAAGAGGATGTTCATCGAAGTGGTTCCGTCTTTCGATTGCCGCAGGAATCCCATCTTGTTGGCGGACTTTTTCTTCATCAATTTTGTCCTGGCGTTCAGTGCAGCAGTTTGCACCTGTTGGAGTACTTCCTCTGCCATTAGATCATCAACAAATGGTTCAAACTTTGATTGTGGGTTATTGTCCAGACGAATCTGCTTACGTTTTTCTTCCTCTTCGAGTTGAGCGTTGATCTGGGCATTGATGCCTTCGTCAACGGCTGCAGCAACGGCTTCGTCTGCTGAATCCATTGTGTGTTGGTCATTGTCCTGACTATCCGACGAGGCAGGAAGCTCAAATCCAAGCTCCTTTGAGTTGAGCTCCCGCATAAAAGTCATCAAGGGTCGCAGCGATCTCATCAAATTCTCCGGTTGCAAAAGCCGCGCTCCAACGTGAAGAAGTTTCTTAGCAGCTTTATGGTAAACCGTCTCGGAATGATTGTACCTGCAAGAAATCACAAATGATAACAACCAACAACAACACAAAAGAATCCCTTACCTGATAGCATTCTCACACATCAGCTTGAAATCATCGCTGAACTCCGACACCGATGTATACTCATTGTCGTCAATCTTCTGCCTTATGGTGCTGAAATCCATCGGCCGAGTGATGATTGACGAGTAACCCGGCGCAATATCATCCGTCACTGGCCAGGCAAAGAACTGATGCGGATCCCGTTTCTCCAGCGCCTTCATCAAGTGATCCAACAACCGAGCCAACGGAGAGCGACTTTGCTTCAATTTCAGTACGCAACTCCGTGGTTCCCGGCCGCTACAATCCGAGCCGGGCGTTTTCGGGGCTTGATTCGAACTGGTATCGTGGAATTCTAGTTTGCTTCCCGGACGCGAAGTAGACTGTACCGAGACAGGGCTCTGAACAGGGTCTTCCGTAGTCACTGAACTAGGAGCATTGATATCCTCCCTCATAAACATCGCAGGAGTAGCAGGAGTGGCCGGCGTTACCGGTTGCACAATCGGTATCGGTTCCGGTTCGGGACTCCTGATCGGAATGAATGGCTTTGTCACCGGCTGCGACGCTGGACTGCCAATACTCACCGGAACAGTCGCCACCGGTGCCGTGAGAAACGCACTTCCTTCCGGAGGAGCCTGAGAACTTTCATCACCAACGCTATTGAAATCCTCCTGACTCGAATCATCCCGATGACGACGTTTCTCTTTGTGGTGCTTGTGCTTCTTCTCTCGGTCCTTCTTCTTTTTCTTTTTCTTGGATTTCTTGTGACGCTCCCCGGAATATTCACCGGAGAACGCCGGGTTGCTCGCATCCTGCTGGATCCCATAGGCCGGCGAATCATTTCCGTGCTCGGGAGTGGAATTGTTGCCACTAACCTTCAGGATCAGCTTCAAACTCGGCGGACGATCCAGCAGCATATTCGCTTTCTCTGCCAAATGAAGCATCATAAACAGGGATTCAAAACAAAGCCAACAGCCGGTGGCCGAAAGCTACTTACCTTCGCGTTCCTTTCGCTCGGATTTGTGCTTCTTGTGCTTTTTGGAACCCATTGTAGTGGCTTCCGGCAAGGAAATGAGCACTGTTTTAGGGAAAACTACGCAAAATATCACCAAATGCAAGGAACCGAAACTCAAAATGATGCGCGGTGGTTTCGTGAAATTTGACAGCTGGGACCAGAGCTGCCAGGTGGTTTTATAAAAAATCTGTATCCACTCTATTAAAAAATCTGTATTTTCTGTATTGACGATTTTTTTCTTAATTAATCATGTTTTGTTGTTTTACAAATACAGTGCATACAAAATAACCATGAAAAGTGCTTAACCACCTATTCGGGCTATCGTACTAACCATACGGGATATAATTGCGCCATTTGTGATATCGTCCGTACTTATTTATAAGAGTGATATGAAGCCGTTTGAAAATGTATGGAGATTTTAGTTTCTATTCATTATCTTCCTGATAAGCAGTTTTAAATGCAAAAAAGTGCACGAGTTCATTACTATTTGATATTTTTAATATAGATGAATACAATTAATTACATCATATCATCATCATCATCAATTACATCATTTGTGTGGTAGTTACACCGAAAAGTCAAGAGATGTCGCCCCGCCAGTGCTGGTAAGATCATTTTTGCAGTATGGAGAATAACAGAAAATCCGCAAATTCTTACGAAATACATTTTCAATGCAAGTAAAATGTTTACGAGTACTTGTATTTGTACCATTTCAATGTGGTCGGGCACTTCTCTTGTATTTAACATACATGCTTATATTGGAAATATTCAATTAATACTGTAAATCCCCATACAATCTCAAATCGTTTACTACCAGCTCCATATGCATCCGAAAGCGGTTGGTCCTCTGGTTGTGAATGCTGTCAAAAACACCATAACATGATTAATTGTCGATGGAAATTTGATAGGTTCCCGAGCAGAGGGTGAGAACAAAATGAAAACAAGAATTATGTTGTTTTCATTATTCCTGATAACTCAAATTGATTTCATTTTGATGGAGTTGATGACTAACAGAACAAAAATGAGAGCTAAAAGATATGCGAAGAATATCAAAATTATAACATATATTGATATTAATGAGAACTGCTTGATAACTTATTTTGATATAGATATTTTATTTAGATTACAAATTTAGTTATCAACATGTTATTGCATGCATGCTGAAAAAACAAAATAAAAATACATCAAATTTTGATGTCATCATGAGTTATTAAAAGGCTATAAAAACGCACAGTGGAATCGATTAAATGTTCCATAAACTATTTAATTTTTTTTATGTTAGAGGAGCATAGCGACAAGTAAGCTTCTTCTAGTCTTTTGAGCCAAATTGGATTTCGTTTTCTTTCATATTCGCCTTTTTCCTTCTGTGAAGTTATATTTAGTAGAGAGTCGCAAATTTTGTGATATTCTCCATACTGCAAAAACAGTTTTCCAACCACTGGAGGGGAAAAAACTCTCGGATATTTGATAAAACTACCACTCAACCAAATATGGTTTTTAGCACAACAATTAATTTTGGAGAGAAGGGAGTACGCTGATAAAATCGAGCAAGTTATTTTGTTTTTATAAATTTTGAATTTTTTTTTTCTCAAGCATTTTATAAAAATCTGTATAAATCTGTATTGTAATTTAAAAATCTGTGATAAATCTGTATTCTGTATCGGGTCTGTATTAAGATTAAAAAATCTGTATAATACAGATAAATCTGTATAAATGGCAGCGCTGGCTGGGACGTAAACAAAGCGGACGGTGTGTGAAAACAGACAAACGTCCATCGGCGGGGGAAAAGCAAGAGAAAATCGACAAACTGGCTGCGTACGGTATATGTTCTAATTTTCTGTTTTGAATTGGCCGTTTCAGGTATAGACGAGTGCACGGATGGATTTGAGTTCACTCACTCGACAAAAAGTGACACAACAGCGGGGCCCTGTTTACTCTAAGAGAAGAGGTGACAATAGAGATTGCTAAAGTATGATTGTGTCAGTGATTTGTTTTCATCGGGAAAATTTTAAGCTATGAAGTTTTTTTTCCCGATGAAAACATTTTGCGTATACGTATACGTGACGTAGTGTGCGTACGATAAACGTCAGCAATCTCTATACGGGGGCAAAAATGAACCACTTTTCTGTCAAACGTGAACCAGCTCGTGATTGGCTGATTTGATGTGCGTAAGATAGAGATAGACATAGATAAAGATAGAGATAGAGATAGAAATTAAAGAGTAAGAAGCCAATTGTCACCTCTTCCTGTTATAGTGTTTACTAAAAATGAACACATGAAGAATGCTCGCGTAACATTTGAAAAGGGCCTATCAACTTTTGTAAATAATTTTCTAGGTCCTTTTCACGAGAACCGAAGTACGCCCACGCAAACCAAGAGCACTATCGGGAAGGGGAGAATTTCCTCTGCTCGGTGGTGTTGTTAATTTGCGTGTTCGTATTCGGTTCGCGCGAGAAAGGTTTAAAAAGTTTTGTGTACATAAGTTGATAGACCCGTTTCAAATGTTACGTGAGTATGATTCATGTGTTCATTTTTAGTAAACAGGGCCCCGCTGCTGTGTCACTTTTTGTCGATTGAGTGAACTCTAATCCATCCGTGCACTCGTCTACACAATGAGGAGCGCAGAGACGGGCAGACGTTTTCAGCTTAATTTAGAAGCTTCATTAAGGAGTTAAATTAACCGCTTTGTCAAGCAGTTTTGGCATGACTTTCTACCAGCGATTCTACAAAACTGGACCAACTAATTTCTATTTTTTTTATGAAATGCACAAATGATGGCTACTTTTCTCGTGGTTCTATAAGAAAAAATCTCAAAATAATGTTTTAGTTCAAAGTTCGAGTGGTAGTAAACGTCATTTCAAGTGCTCGAATGAAGTGGTTAATTGAAACTAGACCCTAAGGCCTTTCGCAATGCTGTTGTATGTTATAAGGACTGTTTCAATTTGAAACTAGAACCACAAACGAAGTGACAGACGACTAACTGATTTGAACAAAGTTGTTTTTGTGTATAATGATTCTTTGACAGTGTGCAAACAGTGTATCATTTTGTCATTTTTTTTTTATGCATTTCAGTTTTGAGTAGAGTGAAAGAGATAGAAACAAAACATTATAATACATTTGGTGAAAATGCTAGTACAATCCAGTAGTAGCAACAATCAATACGAAACTAACGATTTTAAATTGACTTACTACTTGACTGCCTATTGGTCCCAAGCAAACGATTAACGTATCCCATTCTAGTCGAAATTCTAGTACTACATAATGTTTGTTTTGATTCGCTATGAAAGTTTGACAGATAAAATGAGGGGTTCGTGGATTCTCCTATGTTTCGAGGGGTGAATCGATTAGCTTGGGACCGAAGAGAGTACCAGAGCTTAGCCAAAAGGTTGAGCACGTTATTTCGGGACCTTCTTGTCTTAAAATTACCTCTGTGGTAAAACCATAGAGGTAACTCTATAGGCGTACTTTGGTTTGCGTGTAAAGGGCCTTAGAAAGTTTGTTTACAAATGCTTTTGTGCCGTTATCAAATGTTTTGTCTGATTTTGTCTGTGGTATGTTGAAATATTGTTAACTGTGCTTTTAGTGAGTCAACATAACAGTACATCGCGAAATATCCAGTTGATGCATATTAACAATTATTTTCGTTAGTAAATAGTGCTTAACTTTGATACCGCTACCTATGAGTCCCACCTTGGGACCTTAGCCATAGTGGTCGAAAAAAAGTTTGTTATGATTGTGTGTAGCTCCTCCTTTGCTTTTTCGATGAACAAGGATCAACCTTGCTGCGTTTTTTTTTTGAAGAAATTTTAAATTGACCGCAATTGAGAAACATAGTGACGGCGCCGGTGATGTAGTGGTTAGCGTGACTGCTTTCTAACACCCCACTGGGTCTGTGTTCAATCCCAGCCGAGGTCGGTGGGATTTTTCTGAGGCATAAAAATCTCTGGTCACGTCTTCCTTCGGACGGGAAGAAAAGCTGTTGGTCCCGGCCCAAGTGTGTTGAATGGGTGCGAAATCCTACGCAGGTGTGAAGGTGCCTTCCTGCACATTCGATTGCCGTCAATGGATGGCAATCGATGTCCGTCGGTGATTGGCACCGATGTCAATCATACAAGGTCTGGAACAACAGGCAGCTTGCTAGTGTTAGAAGCAAAAATGTTATAAACATTGCTGAGCAAGCGAATGCCGATGTCACGGCAGCACAACATTCCATACTGCGATTAAATAGCAGACGTGTCGTCACAGAAAACAGCTGTTTCGTGTAAAATAATAAACATTGCGTTGAAATACGACCACCACTAGACATTTTCACATTTCACTAATACCAATAAGCCGGTTGGGCCAGACCTTGTATAATTGACATCGGATTGGCACTAGATTGCGGAACAGAGACCGACGTTAAATCAAGAGCAACATGTGAAAAGGGCATACAAGCTTGTTGTGATTCACAACACTTTTGTTCTCGATTCCATGGAAATGTCATATGAAGGGCAAATCCTATGAAGCATCAAAATAGCCATGACGAAATGTAGCAGTGAAATATTTCATCACTTTGTTCCACTGAAAAGAATTGAATCTGTATTTTGTTTCCACTTTGTTTCAAATCACAAATGACGATGGTTTAATTATTATCTAGTATATGAAACTGTATAAAAGGCCAAAGATTTTAAATAAAATATTCAGTAAATCAAAATACTCCGAGTAGGCACGCTGCCTCTCGGAGGCAAGAAAAATCATTAGTTTTGATTGGATTCGCAATTCGAGTTCACTGTACCACCGCCGAGCAATTGGAGTCATCCTCGTTAACCGAAAATAACACAACGTAGGGCCTCAACATTGGATGAATCATATGTTTTTTTTTTTTTTTTTTTTTTTCGGTGCCTTGACCAGATGCCTAGAGTTGTCTGTTGAACTATAGCGTCTACGTCCGTGTTGGATCACCCGCATCCCCGCGGTATAACCTGCGTCATTTTATCGGACCGCTGCGTCATTTTGCCGGACCCCTGCGTCCACTGCCGGACCCCTGCGTCCACTGCCGGACCCCTGCGTCCACTGCCGGACCCCTGCGTCCACTGCCAGACCCCTGCGTCCACTGCGGGACCGCTGCATCCACTGC